CCTCATATTGTGGACTGTACTCTTAAAAGAATGCGCCTACATGTTAAGCCCGTTTCACTATCAAATAGACTATGATTGATTCTCTTCACAACGTATGTAATTTACATAAACGCCCCTCTGGTATTGAAAGGTTTACCCAAAGTGTATGTGAGCAGAAAACTTTCCGTATTGGTACGGAATTACATTATCATTTCTATGAAATAGATAACCGGTGACATTCCAATACCAATAACGTATTCTACCAATGATACAGACGTATTAATGTAACATGAATACATAAATGAAAAGTGGTCGACATGTGAACTACATGTCATGACTACACGTGTAACAACTGGTTCTCGTCTCTGTTGTGACAATGCTTGATGTACAGAAGAAAATTGACATTATTTAGATTTTAGTGCCTAATGATGTCAAGGTATAAAACGTACTTCTTTATACTTGAGATTGTAACGATGGTGAACAATATAGAAGGTGTTTACTGACACTGCATACATTAAATTCATTATAAAGATCCTCAAAGCCAAAACATGGAGGGAATACAATTCATAGAGAAGTCACGATCTGAATTTCACATCCATATTCAAAACTTATAATAACAATAATTATAACAATAAACTCTATATTTTGCATGGGTAAGAATAACGTCCGTAACTATAGATATGACCATATGAACACAATTTTAATAAATAAATTTTCCAGATTCGATTGTCTGTGTTATCTGTCTAACTCTGGAACATGTTACGCTGACGTAGACAGTATAAATCTATACGAATCTCGGCGATACCCCCGACAACGTGCGGGTGCTAGCGTATTACGGTGGTTGGTGGCGTCAGAAGTATAAATCCCCCCTTAAGACATACATCTTTTTTTTAGGTTGCATAAGGCCCCTAAGCTCTGACTGATATGAATCATTTAGAGTTAACAAAAATCTTGTAATACACAGGGCGTTGGTTCATATTTTCTTATAGTTTAAGTAAACAGATGGACAAATGGTCCTCATTAGAATCAACAAACTAGGCTGTAATTAACCAACATGGGTTGAAAAGACCTAAAATATGTCCAGAGCTTAGTTCACAAGTATGTGTCAACATTTGCCAAATAGTGGACTTAAATAAGATCTCTCAAAAAACTATCACGTTATATAGGTCGTAATTTGAATTGTTAATGTGGTTATTACGTCTCGTCGCACGGGTAGTACTATAATCACGACCATTCTTTTCTTTCTTGTATCACACTTGAGAATTCAATCCAATTTCATTTCATTTTTATTAGATGAATGTCGATGTTAGATTGTATGAATCTTTAACGCAATATATTGTAATTACATGTATTTGCAATCATACTAGAAAATGTACTAAGTCGCAGGCAAATGTATAGAAAACAAGAAAAAAGTCCCTTAATAATTACAAGCTCAAATACCTCCATCACTCCGACCATTAGTGATTTTACGGCGACTAGAAATGTATAAGGTCGCCGGCACGCGTGAAGAAAGCGCGAGAAAAGTAAATTAAAAAAGTGCTAACTCTTAAACAGTCGCCCTGAAGAGAACTATGCGACTGTATTCACGACTGTTACGAGCTCGGGATGATTCAATAAAAGGGACAATCCTACGCCATTTTGGAGGGTGGATTTTAGTCATGAATATATGTAGTCTTCAAAAGTACTAGAAATGTATGACAATCACAAATTGTATTCACTATTTCTATATGTCTTTTTTTATACATTGTATATCACAAGAGTATCTTAAATTGAAGATTCGTCTTTTTAACATTCAAACGCAGATAATTCTGGATTAGAAGACTTAAATTTCGACGGAGAGCTGTGAACACTTTTACTGATTAACTCTAAAAAATTACAGTTTCTGATACCAAAGTATGATTGGTCAAAATAAAAAATGGCGCAATTGTCCCTTTAATATTGAAAAGAAATGAATGGAGTTTTACGTCCTACTTTTCTGCACCATGTGCGCTAATGAAGACGGGCAACGTCATGCAGGGTGTGATGAGGGAAATTTTGCCAGGACAGCGGCATTAGCCTGCTCTTTTTCGATTTCCAACTGTCGAGGGATCTTTAATGTGCACAGCCTGTAGCATCTTCTTTTCAACGCGCGTATTGCGCTTTTATTGTGATCATGAAGATTCTATAACACTTGTTTAACGACGTTCTCACTTCATGAGTCTTCTGAAAGCGATACAGAATAGACCACCGAACCATCACGAACAGTTGTCTTTATGTTGAGAGCTGTATTTGGTAGTATACACTTGATACAAGAATACAACCCAATGAAGTCAAGGTATTAGACGCAACTTGACATTTTAAAGTTGGCATCCTTTTTACTGCCAATATTGCCAAAAATTGTCATAAGTGAACATTTTATGGACATTGAATTGATGCTTTACGTGGGTAAAAACGCATCGGTACCCTATACTCCATGATCGGTACCAAACATAATTGTCGCCAGTTTACGACGTAATTTAGTAATTCGAAATAACTGGCGTATATTTATCACAAAAATCAAAGCAAAAAATCTTAAATAACCAAGTTTAAAATATAATTACAGAATGACTTGCAATATCCATTGAATAAAGGTTTTGAGTTTGGTATTAATCATGAATGATGTGCTTATTACTTCTCAAAATTATATTTTTGGGGCACAATCAAAAATGCGAATAAAACACTTACAGTGCATACTTATACCTATACCTTCCTGTGGCCTAGATTATGTATTGGCTATTATGTTCCGTTGAATGTTGTAAGTAAAATTACTTTAGATCTAAATGCTGTTAAGAAATATAATAATTTTAGTCGGGGTTATTAAGTTTTGCTCCACTTTTAAGAGCGATGTATACCAAGTCTCTGAGCCGTATAACGGGTCGCATGATTCTACAATATTTTAATTCATTTATTGTAGAAGTTGCACATCAGATAAAGATAAAAACCCTGACCATAGTATTCACAAGCATTCACGAGCGTTGATATACGTATATCATATACCTTTCTTGAAAATGAGTAATTATGAAATTACACATAAAGACAGGGCCTGTTGCTATTTAGATTTATTTCTATATCATTTGAAAAAAATAGAGCATGAGATTACCTTGACACAGAAAAAAGCACAATGTTTGCAAAAGGATAGTGTTATACACTTGATATGAAACATGTGATTCACTTTAAAGTCTCTTTTTCTTATATACAAAAAGAATAATCAATCAAAAAACTTAGCGTGCAGTCTAAAATCAATAAAATTGTACAATAGGCCATCTCGGATCATAGATTTTCTTTTTCAATTACCACAAGAAATTGATGATATTTCCTCAAACCATAAAAACCAAAATAAAATGTTGACCTTATGTTTAAAAAAGTAAATTTCTCTTAAAACAATTTTACTTAGTATAATACCTCGTAGACGTCGGTTTACATGGATACGTTACAAATTACTCACAAATATCAGAGGACGTGTGAGAATTTATAGTTGTTAAACTTTTAGTCCAAAGTCAGGATATTGGTATGGTGTGTAGTGGTTGGCTTATGTCAAGTAAATTTTTGGATTAACTCAATATTTTACATCATTATGAAGGTAACTTAATCATTAACCTTATTAATTTCAAACTGATAATCAAAGCTAAACGAAAATTTAGAATTATTCATTTTCAAAATATACGTTTCACTCTCATTTGCTCACTTAAAAAAAATGTCCACAAAATTTTACTTGAAATTCTATTTAGGACCCTTCAATATTTTCTTAACCCACTTTCCCCTGTTTATGATGCAGGTCGGAGAGGTTTGGATAATAGATTGAAATGTAATAGTTAATATAAAAATGATTTGCGATTGCATCACTGAGATGTTTTATGACCATTTATATTTTATTATTGTATTAACGAATATATTAAAAGAATAGTACATTAAGCTAGAAATTATCTATTCATCACGATTATAAAGGACGTTTGAATATGCAGTCACGTTGAAGTTTACAACCACAACCATTGTCACATCCGTCAAAATTTACCACATCATACATTGACCGCAAAAGGGAATCTCAAAACTAAAAGTATAATATTAATAACTGCAGTTCAAAATCTGTGGAATACAAATCGATATTATGAGATCTAAGAATTGACATCCGTAAGAATGAATATGAGATCAGTAAGAATTGATAATGATATGAGATCTATAAGAATTGAAGAAGGGGTGGAAAGAAGAAAAAGTTTAGAAAAGAACAAGGAGAAACGACACGATTTAATATTGAAAAAGACGAAAAGGGAAGAAGCACGGTTATAAGAGAGATACTCATTGTACCTCCGTTCAATGCTTCAAATTACAGTGCTCCGAAGACTTATTATTAATCAAAGACTTCCATTTTTGTTAATCCGTTTTTTAATTTTCATAAGTATTGACACTGGTAAAAAAAAAAAAATTGCCGAGAATTCCTTTCCTTCATGTTGTACATATTGTATATACAGTATCTCAATTAGATCTCCCGGGAATGTTTTAATATGCTTTCTGAGACTCCTCTAAGTAAGTCAATTTAATGTCTGTTATTAGAAGATTTAAAGATTTTCTGTAAGAATGGATATGAGATCTGTAAGAATTGTTGATATGGGATCTGTAAGAATTGTTGATATGAGATCTATAAGAATTGTTGATATGAGATCTGTAAGAATTGATATGAGATCTGTAAGAATTGATATGAGATCTGTAAGAATTGATATGAGATCTGTAAGAATTGATATGAGAACTGTAGGAACTGAAATATGAGATCTGTAAGAATTGGTACGAGATCTGTAAGAATTGGTACGAGATCTGTAAGAATTGATATGAGAAGCGTAAGAATTAATACGAGATCTGTAAGAATCAATATCAGATCTGTTAAAATTGATACGAGATCTGTAAGAATTGATATGAGATCTGTGAGAATTGATACGAAATCTCCGAGAATTAACATGAGATGTGTAAGAATTGATATGAGATCAGCAAGAATTGATATAAAGTCAGTAAGAATGGAAATGAGATCAGTAAGAATTAATATGAGATCAGTAAGAATTGATATAAGGTCAGTAAGAATTAATATGAGATCAGTAAGAATTGATATGAAAATCGGTAACCAATGATAATTACACACTTAAAATGTACATACGTTAGTATTTCATTGGTTTATCATTATGATAAAAATTCTCATCGACTGAATGAAATCAGAGCATCAGAGTGTTATTTTACAATTTAAACACCTAGTAATACTCATTGGTATAATCGGTTGTATCGTGACATATTAGTCAGTTTTTAGAATCTTTTCTATTACAGCAACTAATCATCCTTGGCAGCTGTATGATCAGTTTTATCTGGGCTTATCCTGAAGGTCCACCTCTGAAGGCTTGTACACATATGTTTCCTACAGACCATGGGGCTAGTGCTCAAACAGCCGATCCTTATTTTAAAATAACAACTTCAACTGAGACATATTCTGAAGGCGGCACCATCGAAGGTAGGGCAAGTACTTCTATATGTGAAATATTTCCAACGAAAATACATGTAACTTGCAAAACGGAAATGTGGCATTGAAGAAAAAGTTTTAGGCGTTGAATTGTCTGAAATAAGTGCTTCTTAAAAGTTTGATCAACATACATTTATACAAGCAATTCAAGAAATTCTTTATTTCGGTTTATATCATTTCAGTTACATTAGAGGCAACCTCAAATTATTATGAAGGTGTATTTATTCAAGCTAGACGGACAAACTGTGATAATACTGAACCAGTTGGTACCTTTACATTATCTCAAGGCGAAACCTTTCTGAAAACCATGAATTGTAACAACAAGGACAATGTAAGTATGCGATCACAAAAAGGTTTCCTTACCGATTCAGGTTCTATTGATAGCCGCTGTCTATTTGACTTAATCTGCTCTCTACAGTTGATGTATTGATACTGTCTTGACAGCTGACTTGATGCTTTTCGGATACATAATCTTCACGACAACTATTTTAAGAAATTTCCAATAACGCTTGAAGGCATAACGTAACTCATTGAAAAGGAGTGAGATGTCGACAATGAGAATTCCGTGTGAAGTTTTCAATCTGTAAAAAGATAAAAAAGAAATTTGAAATTAGTGGAGGGTGGCCAAAGCCGGGCCAACCTCTTTTCAACGTTTAACACTTAAAGGGACATAACAGCCATTATAAATTAAAAACAGTCCCACTCCACTAATTCAAACAGAATCTCTTTCAATTTTTAATCATGAAACTTAACTTTCTTTTCATCCACAAAATTTAAGCTAGGTCAGTTGTCCACACCTACAGGTTAACAGAACATTAAATGACAATACATATACTCTGATACTGTCTAAAATCCAATTTCCTCGAGACAGTTGGTGAGAAATTGACAAACAGTTGTTGATCCCATGAATATAATTTGCCATATTGATTTGTAACAGTTATTACAGTTCCACGTCATGCTACAGTGTTCAAATAATTTATATTAGATCTGTAAGAATTGTAGTGAGATCTGTAAGAATTGAAGCGAGATCTGTGAGAACTGATGTGAGATCTGTGAGAATTGATGTGAGATTTGTAAGAATTGAAGTGAGATCTGTAAGAATTGATATGAGATTTGTAAGAATTGTAGTAAGATCTGTAAGAATTGAAGCGAGATCTGTGAGAACTGATGTGAGATCTGTGAGAATTGATGTGAGATTTGTAAGAATTGAAGTGAGATCTGTGAGAATTGAAGCTAGATCTGTGAGAATTGATGTGAGATCTGTGAGATTTGTAAGAATTGAAGTGAGATCTGTAAAAATTGATGTGAGATCTGTGGGAAATGATGTGTATAAATTTTATATATATTCATCTGTATTTGCAGAGTGCTGTTGCGCACCAAACCAAGAGGCATGAAACTTCTAAAACTATCACATGGAAAGCTCCAGCAGAAACCGTTGGCCAGATCTATTTTCAGTAAGTAAAGTCTTCTAATATCTTTATCCAAATAGAAATTTCTTAATATTTGCGTTAGCACCAGTTTTAGCAACGAGTGTTACTTTTGGATTCTAAGTGAATTGTTCGCAAACTGCAAATACGTAATTATGAGGTTACCCAGAGGTAACATGCAGTCACCTTGCATCGAATTGTATCACAAAACCTAAGGCCTTGCATTGAATGTTATCTTATACTTTCAGGGGAACATTTGTACGAAACGAGAAGACATTTTGGGTTGGGGTATTTTCACCTATTATTAAACCTGTTGCTGATTCAGCAAAAGCTAATGAAGAATTTTGTCCTGTAGAGAGTTCAGTTGGGAACCTTTCAATCTCACTCATATCATTATGTCTTTCTATGATTGTATTCAAACTCTTGTAGATTTGTAATGTATTACATTTGTGTTAGGCTTCGTTACTGTTTTGCACGCACAAATTCTAATAACAACAGAAAACGTTTCTAATTTCTTTTCAAATATTTTAGCTGTGTACTAACTCTTGCTGCATGACTATAAGATACCCCTGTGCGATCTTACCTTGGGCTTCACAATGCCAGCGAATACAGCCAATCAGAGCCTCGACAGGAATGCTTAAAACATTGGTTTTTGTGTTCACAGACCTTCTGTCGAGGTACCTGTATTCGCAAGCATACAATCCAATCACTCGTTTAATTTACAAAAGTTCGTAATAGCTTGTGAAGATGAGAAAGCTCGAATGCAGGACATTCTATGGTAGTGCAGTACAGTTATATGTATTATTTTTAGTCCAAAATGCACAAGTTCTATCATTCATTATCAGAAATTCACAAGTTAATAATCAACACCTTTATAATCGACTGTTCAACTTATGTACTTGATATTTTTGTATGAAAAAATATAAATCTAAAAATATACGTAGCCTTCTAGTTTCATTCTGGTTGACGTTTGATATGAAATTGTCATCATATTTACCGTCGGTCTGTCCGTCACTTCTCATGCTCACTCTACAGGAAATATTTTTTGACATCATCATTAGTAGAATCACACGTAAGTGTTTAAATTAACGTACGTGCACAAAAGTAGGACGTAAAACTCCATTCATTTCATTTCATTTTATTTAAATTAACGTATGTTAAACACCAATATTTTAATGATCGTTTTCATATTGGTTTTGCATCAAGGTGTAGAAGAATGTAACCAATGAAGATGACTGAACATATATTATCACCGTGCCTATACTACGACGGGTGCACTCTCGTCTTGACTGTATATGTTAAAATGGTACTTTTCCTAATTAGTTACCTTTGCCGATCTTATCGAGAACAGGCTGTACCTTTGATCATAATCTGTGGCTGGTATTCAAGTTCCCAAGCTCAAGCAAAATAATTACATAAATAACGACATATTATTTTCAAGTTTTCTGTTAGTATATAAGAGCCACAGACTTCGCTCAGGTGAATCGCTGTGGCGCACATAGGAGCCTTAATAAGATATAGTCGTCGAAGAATGCTCAATTTCAGCATCATGTTTCAGAATTAAGATGTCTGGTTCGTCTTCAGTTCAACAAAACATGTCATTGATTCATTTTCTTGGAATTGACAAAAATCTAAACTTCTACAGTATGTACTCCGTATTTTAATTCTGAAAAGAAATACGGACGGCTGAAAATGAGTTCTATGATCTCCGAGCTGCAGATACATACTTAAGTAATTGAATAAGACTGGTTTGTATAGCTCTATATTTAACTAAACCTTTGATATAGTTATAGGCTTTAATACAGAATACTTCCTTCTAAAATACCCAAATAATTTTCATTTTACCTCTTCTAACTATATATCCCATTTCGGTATGATATTTGAGAAAAACTATTGTAGTTCGACAGATTATTTTAAGGATATTATTACATGTTATTGTCAAATCGTGTGTATTATTAATCCATGCATTTAAAGGAGTATTTCGTAACAAATTTCCGATCAGGACATATTAGGAAATTGATTATTTTCAAGGGAACAAAATTGTTAAATTCTTCAGTATCAGCACTTGGATTTAGAATGTGCAGACCAATGTTGGAAAATTCATATTCGTTTCAAATGAGAATTCTAAACATCTTTCAGTTGAGATTATACACCGTTTAAATCGTTATGCCACAGTTAGTCTAACATGCTAGCTCAATCATAAGGTTCAAAATGCGTTTTGTCAACCGAAACATCTTCGTCTTTGTAGTCTTTCTGGTAAATGTGGATTGTGTTGTTCACGAGACCATACAATCCACAAGACACAATAAATCATCTTCACAATGTCATACTTATACCTTGACTGCAATAGTCACCTTTCTTGTCTTATGGTAGTTCGTAAAAGAGACGATTTGATTGGATTGTACGCTAGCGAATACAGTCAATCAGAGGCTTCGACAGAAAGACTGGGAACACAAAGCCTTAATGTTTACAGCCTTTCTGTCTTTGAAATTTCGTCGTAATAAAAGAATAGTGGCTATTGCAGTCAAGGTATCAGTACGAATTGCGTAATAGCTTGACATTGTGAAGATGACCGTACATTTGCAGAGATTTTCCAGACTTCCTTTAAGTTAATTCTAACAGATAATGATATTATATATATCCATGGCTGATGATCTCGAGTTTCGTTTCCCAGTGACGTTCATAATACTTATATCGTATACTGTATGCTCTGGGATTAACAATTTTAAATTGCATATCATATGAAACACTAGACTCTATGTATGTATATATCTCATTATTAAATAATCATACAGGTATATGGTAAGTATTAATTTGTTTAAAATAATAATAGACTTTTAACTACAGAGCAATGATATTCTAAACTCAGAAATCTTACAGTTTGCTCATATCTGCTTGTAAGGTGGATACGATATGACCTCGTATGATCTTTTGCTTTATCTTTTGAATAAATGATTCTTCAAAATCGACGCTAAGTCGACAAAAAACGTCCCGGAAGCCCTTGAGTGTTTTTTGATGGATTTCAATACGACTAATTGGAATATCTAGTTTAATATGTAGACAAAAAAGTTTCTAAGGAGATTCTAATATAATATTGTTACAGATAATTTGCTTAGGCTCGATAATCAAATACAAAACGACCAATTATGTTGGACATCTTCCCAAAACGAGAACCTCCACCTATTAGCCGCGAAGATCTGCTGGAAGGTGTTTCTTTTGATGATGTTGACCGGAAAGCTACAGAGGTATAATATTTAAATATCACTTCTTGGAGCGGTATACACTTCCAGAGCAGTAAGATCCTTTCTTTTTGTATCGTTTAAGGCATTTAGACTTACAGCTTATGTTTAGGTTAATACTATCTTGTCAACTTCACATAAAACAGTTTAAGACTAATTTAAGGGTGTGAGCTAGGGTGAAAGAGATTCGTCTTTCCAATGTTGATTTTTACAAGAACAACTTTCGTGTTATAAGTGAAAGATCGAATTTGGGTTTCAGTAGACTCACATAGAAGTCAAAATATATTAATATATATTAATATGAAAGTTCATTTTAAACACCAGGTCTTTTGAAATGCATCGTAATATTTTGCTGTTGTTATCCTATTAACAAATATGACCAAAAAAACATTGGTGCTGTTCATAGCTTTAGTGAAACAGTTTACGTTACTTTTTTTGGTAGTCATCTTCACTATTTCAAACAGGTTCCTGATGATAAACTAGACACCTTTGAGAGTTTGGTTGAATATTTAACTAAAGATATCGATGAACCATTATTGAAACTACGAGCATTGTTTATATGGTTAGGGAATCAGAACATCTTAAAGACAGATTATGGTAATGTTGAATCTGATACGCCAAAAGGAATGTTGCAAGCAATAAAAGAGGACTTTGATTATAATCACATCTTGGACAAACTGTGCAGGTTAATGGTCACTTTATTTCAGTTCATATTTAAATACACTTGCTTCTCGCAGCCCGTAATCTTCCCTGCTAGAAATCCATCCAATAACTGTTCTGCAATGAAAGGCATTACTTCTGTATCTGTCTGTAGAAGATAACAAATGGTAGTGTAATGATTGAGGGTACTATCCATAAAATCGGGATCATTGTTAACAAAGCATGCTTTCAATGCTGGAATACTTTGAGCTGTTGTTGTTGTGAATAATTTCATTTCGAAATGATAATTTGACGTACATGTATATGAAATGGGGGCCTTTATACATTATTTTAGGTTTGCCGATATTCCTTGTTCTTTAATAGAAGGTCGCCAGCGGTTACTGCCCGATGATGGCGATAAACTTGCAAACCAACCGAGCGCCTGGTGTGCTGTGTTTGTAAAAGGTAGGAAAATTTAGACATATATAAGCTCACATACATACAAACATTTGATCTGGTTTTATCTCATGATTTTGAATATATAGTAGTAGTGGATATCACACGCGAAGCAGCCCATACTTACTCTTTTTGAATCACCTGGTGGTATTTTTCGTATGAGGAGTCCACTACTATACAATTATTACTCCCGATTTGTCCGATTTTCGGATAATGGATTTTTGGGGGGTTTAATAGATCCCATGCTCACGATATTGTTACTTGAGGTTACTTTTTAGGATGGCGTTTTGTGGTACCTAATAGATGTTTTCTGGGTTTATTTGGTGATAATACTGGGAAAAATTGGCAAAAGGTAGAACAGGATGGTTTAAGGACGCAAGGTGCGTGTATTAAGATAATATCAGTGGATATTATCAACGGAATTGAATTAAAGTCTAGATACATATTTCCTAATATGTCACTTGAAACCTGAAAACAAAACTTAAGTCATTAGAAACGAGATCTTTGAAAATGCTGTTCAGTTACTTGAATTTGTCCTATCACCAAAGCGCTTCCTAACCTGCCTTTATATCGCAAGCAAGTGGCGGTAGAAAGAGATGAAATCTTTGATTTGATAGTTTCATGTTAATAAAGCTAGCCTAATATATAATGACATATCTAACACGATTCCAAAACTTTTTAACTGAATTGATAGTCAAAATAATGAATTTATTGTGCAATATTTTTATAGAGAACGACCCAGTATTATCAGAGTACAGACATATTTTCGAAGAGTATTTTTTCCTGATGGACCCCTCAAGTATGATTTATTTCTATAGACCAAATAATGATAAATGGCAACTCCTGAAAACACCAATATCAGAAGCACTTTTCATGTCACAACCTTGTGTTTTCCCTTCTTTCTTTGAATCTGGACTTCAGTTAAGAAAGGGTCAACTAGCAGAAGTAAAAGCACAACATGGTCATGCTAATATAGTACTAAGAACCACTGAAGAAGATTGGAGTGACCGTCTGCTGTATACTCTTTACTTCCGTACAGGACAGGAAAAGGAGTTTCCGGCTACTATATCAGCGGATAAATATGTCATATTAAGCAACCCAGATCTGAAGGGTGAAATATCAATTGAAGTTCGGTTTCCTGTCGAAGGTATTTACCGACTTAATTTTCAACTTCAATCGAAATTTCACCGTACCTTTTTAAAGTTCATCTTAAAATGTGAAGATGCGAAATTCAAATGCAAACCACTCCCACTTACACCAGAAATAGGCTGGGGACCTGGAAAAGAGGCCAAACAAATCGGAATCAAAGATATATCCCATACAGATGGTATCATACACACCAAAGCTTCAGAAGATCTGAATATTGAGTTTAAAGTCAATCCAGGAACAACTATTTCTACTAGATATCTTACGACTACAAAACCGGCCAATGACCAGGAGATGAAGAAAAGGGTTAAGACAAGAGTTCGAAATGGCGATGTGCATATTTGGGTTAATCTAATCGACGGGGAAGGTGTAATAGAAATCAGTGCTAAAAAGAAAGGTTCAAATGAACCCACGCAAAATGTCATCAATTACTTAGTATCTACTGAAGAAACTCCAAAACGTCTCAAACTTAAAGAGGTAAATACTGCTTGTTAATGGTTTTTTGATTATGTGCTTAGAATTCAGTGGCTGGTTGGTTGGTAGATGACAAGTTAACGTTCGCTTCCAGATGCTGATATCGCAAACTAGGTAGTTGTTGGTAGTCGTAGTAGTTGGTAGTTGGATTGGTTCAAATTGGATGATTCTGTGTTGTTGGTTTGGTTGTTAATTCTACGTTAGATCTGGTCGGGTGAAATTCGGCCCTGGATGGTGTGGCGTGAGTTACTCGATCTCCTTCATTCTTCCAAACTCGTTCTGATCATGGTATCAGGGAGAAAAGCTTTCAACAAAAGGTAAAAAGATGTTCTCTGATGTTTCTGTAATGAAACTTGTTAAATTGATGGGATATTATTAAAAGTGTTAAGAAACTTTGAGAATAAAAGCTTAGCCTATCTGTTCAAGACAGATTTGACAGTCTGGTTGCCACTTTGCAGATGGCTACAGATGGATGGTTTGGTTTGGTTTAGTATCTTCGATCAATCTGGTATCTAGCGGTGTCGAGGTTCCGTAACATGTCGGCCCATTTCTGGTTGATCCTAAAGATACGATACTGCAGAATTCCGAAAAGGAGTATTCTACAGGTTCGATATCCTCAAGCTCAGACTTACCTTTGCACAACGGTCTGCTTGATCATTGCCAGGGATTTAGACATGCGATGGGACCCATACTAATTCAATCCTGTGGTTGTTGTTGGTTTGGTAGTTGTGGACCATTCTTCTTATTTCGGCGATAACTTCTGTCTTGCAATTAGAAAAGGTGAGAAAAAAATAGATTGGAGGCTGCTTAGCGAGTCGGATAGAATCGCATCACGCTACCGCGTCCCTGATGGCAAGAAGTTCTGCTGTGAACACTGAGCGAAGAGCATTGCCTTTTACAAATGCGGATGCCTTTTGCTGGGATGCACAAACCGTATCCTGTTGCTGTACTACTCTTGGAACCATCGGTTTAGATCTTCAAATGGTCGGCGTACAGGGAATCAATAAGATCAAGAGCGTGAGTTCTTGCTCCCACTGGGTTCTCGTGCTTGTTGGTACTCTGGATCAGCTGGGTATATATCGGGTTGGTAACCTTCCAAAACGGAGTAGCCGATAGGCGTCGTTCAAGGATCGTTACTTGATCGAGCTGATGCTCTCTAAATGGATCAATGACCGCTTGCCCTTAAGAACTACTTCTGGTTATTTCCAACACGAATAAATCTTCTGATGCTGGAATACGTTGGACAGCTTTCCGACAAATACTGAAGTTTCTCCCAGAACTTAAGAGATAGTTCCTCCCTCGGAAGAGAAAGGGGCTTCTCTCCCACCTCCTGAAGTAGCGCCTCATTCTTCGTACCTGCGGCTGCCCTCGTGGCAACACTATAACTTTCATGTGTAGAACGTCAGTGGCATTTCAACCTTTGCATATGTATCAGAAATATAAGTCCGAAACATCCAGCTTCTGACACTATTTTGACACTTGTCGGCTGGAGTAGGCCTTTTTGGGGGATTTCCCACATCTCCGAAGGTGCGTACTTTTTAAACATATATTAAACTACCTTTAGGATGACTGTACATTAATGTTGGGCATCGTCACATTCGTTTTGTATATCACTTGACCCTGTGACCATGGAACTGTTGGTTACGCACGCCGCCTTAAATGTCCAACGAGAGATTAGTTTCGTAAATAGTTAAGGGGGATAATGATTGAACTATATATAGGCTATCTGGGTTTCGCGGTCCGATTTAAATAAAAAGGTTTAGAACCCTCGCAACTCGGAGGTGCGGAAAATAACCACAAGTTTTTCTGTCTCTACACCAGCCGACTATTGTCAGAGGTTGTAATAGAGATAAATGTTTCGGTGTAAGAAACACTAGCGGCTTAGTTTGTGCCATTCCGACGTTTGTGATCCCTGTTCATCAATAAAAAAAATAGAAAGATATCTGCATATATTAATTCATTTCATAGAACTAGTACGAGTTCGAAGTTAATGATGTTTCAAAGAAGGTTTTTAAGTTTTTGCCCTTGACTTAATCCAAATTGTGTGTGCTCATGTGGAAGATGAATAATTGTATTGTCTCACTGATTTGCAGCACAGAGGTTAACTTTGAAGTATTTTTCCGCGTTTCAGTTATCTATGCACGTTTATACATAGAGATGCTGGAAGCAGAAATAGTCATTCATTAGATGGAAAGATTAATCAATCGTTTAAATTTATATAACTGTCATGTTGAAGGATTTGTTTACCTTTTGGCCATCTGTTTTCCTTTACTTTATTAAGACTCCAAGAGAGAAGGAAGACAAGGCAACGCTTAAAAAGTCTTTAAAGGATGGTAAATTAGCCGATATCAAAGACGCATTAGCAAGTTACAGAAGACATGATGTTGAAGAAGAAGAGATCGTTACAGAAGCTACGGAGATAATACACTTTCTTCAAGTCAAAGAAGGTAAAATGAATTTTTTTTAGTAGGCCTATTTGACAACGATTTTGTCCAAATGCAGCGTTATGTATTCATTTTTGCATTTATTCCTTTGACCCAAAAGCAGTTCAAATAATGTGGCGTAGTGTAAGCATATAAGAACAATATTACCTGTATAGCCTCTCCGTAATGGTTTCAGTGAAAATCCAAGTCATACATGTTAATCTTGGTAGAATTTTCTATATAAATTTGTAAGCCAACCCTGCTTTAACCATAAAAAATCGGATGTTTTTTTGGTAGTTTAGTAGATAATAAATTCATTCTGTAAAGACGATTTTGTAGATAAACCCTAAATGCGATGTTTTTTCTGAAAAGTCAGGCGGAGAGTTGATTAAAATTTAGAACACAATGCAGTCTTCAAAGTTGCCAAATATCGTTCGTCTTCTACCAAAAAATAATAAGGAACTATAATCCACGGAAGGTTTGATTCGAAGTTTATTATTGATTGTTTTTTTGTTTTTTACTAGATTTATGGGATGCAATGCTAAGGCGTCATAAAGGTATTTTAGAACAAGCTATTGCTGCAGCTGAAGCATTAGAATCTCCGAATAGAATAATGAGCCTTTTAACTCGAGCCAAAGAGATCTTAAAGCGGCTTGAACAGCAAGATCAAGTTAAAGTGTTAGTAATGAAACAAACCACTATAAGTGAACTACATAAATACAACCATCCTAAACAAGTCGTACATGATGTCATGATGGCGACGTATTCTCTTCTTGGTGAAAAGATTGCTTATTTAGACGTAAGTTTTTTGACATGGTCCAGGCTAGTACATATTGTTAGGTGTAAATGCTTAAAGATCCTTTTAAAAGTACAAGCAAGCAACCGCTTGCTCTGGAATTGCAGAAACCAGGGACGTCGAATGGTGTCCCTGATACGTACTTAATTTGAAACACAAAGCTACTAATACACAATGAATTACTTGTGTTTTACTCAACATTTCATCAAAAGAGTTGTCTCCCTCGAAGTCGAACTTTTGTCCTCTTGAAGATTCCTGGTAAGGACAAAGTCGTCTCGTATTTCCTTCGTATTTACATGGATGTTAAGTATATTTCGGACATCAGGCAGTAACTACGTGCTCTATTCGCATAAGTTAGTATTGCTCGTAACTAAAATAAAATCACCACCATTTTCACACCAGGATTGGGAAATGATACAGAGTCTAACGAGAAAAACTGGTAGATGCGGTCTGTTAAGAAAGATTCGAGAGTTTGATTTTAGTAAAACAAATAAAGCAGCATATAGTTTCGCCAAAGAAAAAATAGATAAGTATGAGGAAAGAGTGGTGAGATTAGCTAGTGGTGGTGCTGGAACCTTCTATAAATGGGTAAGATCTTAGACTACAAAACTCACCGAGATTTATCTGTAGTCTACAACCGAAACATTTACCGAATGAATAAAAAAAATAACTTTGAATAGTACGTTGTATATGCGTTTGACTTCAAGGGAAGTAATTCTGTGCAAATTTTATTTGACCACTGGGGTTGCTTATAACAATACTATGAATCCAACTAAATCGCCGTAGAGTGAAATTTCTTAACCGGTTAAAGATAGCTATCTGTATTAAGTTTTCCAAGAACTGTAATTCGAAGCAGTGCACATAGGTACAATGAGTACCTATCAAAATAAGAAAATTACCCCCTTCTGATCCTACATTTCACTTCTGACTGTCAAGAAGACTCTACAGTAACTCACTCCTCTCAACCCTTCCTATTCGCCACTGCCCTCTAAAGATCTCCCTTCTACTTCGCTTTAAATCTCAATCATCTTCAATATACTCCCTGATGTTCTTTCATTCTCTTATGTCTGTACAGCTTCCAACTTTCTCTCCTCTCTAGACCCCTTTCTGGTCTACTCAACAGCATGACTGTATTCTACGTCCTTAATGTGCTGGTCCTACCAGACCTCAAATCTTTAACCTAATGTCTCCTTTAGTTGACTACGAGAGGGGGACGATAAAGTTGATGCCAACATACGACCATATTATTATGTATTCTTTTGTATTTCAGTGTAAATTCACATTAAATCAGATCGCAGTATCAAGAGAAGATCTACACAATGATTTTACTTATGATGAAGAAAGTGAGATTTCGAAATAAAAATAAGTATAAAGAAGAACTTCTTACGTTTAAATCATAAACATAAAATGATACATGTTCTTCTAGTTTATAAAGATGAATAAACAGTTAAATGTTGTTAAAAACGATCATTTTTTAGCATTGGATGGTGCGATGGACTGCCGTCGCATACGAGCTATTTTCTACATTGCAGATTCCTCAATCGTCATCGATCTTCAAGCCTAACAACAAACACCAAACATGACGTTGCATGGTGTGATACCTGGCAATTTCAACTGTAAATCGCTGAGCAATTTGATCATCTCAAATCTACATATTATACCTTATATACAAGAATATTATTCAAAAGATTATTAACATACACAAAGCGCAATTACTACCGGATTTGTCAAGATTTACTTCAAGTTCTGTTTAACAATGTTGCATTTGACTGATTCTCACAAAAAGCGTCAAAGATCACCTTTTCCTGGCTGCTAATCGAAATTTTCAAAATGTAAAGTGAGCTACTTTTTGAATATTTGAAATTTTCGATAAATCGGTAAAAAATTGCCACCTTACCGATATCAAAACATGTCCAAAATTGTACCCAGTGAAAATAAACTTATTGTGGACAGACTGCATGACGGATCAACAGAAGGAAAGTTAAAATGAGAAAATAGTAAGAGAAGACATGAACAATATGGATTGAACTCAACCTGGTTAAATTGTTATTTAACAATCATTTGAGATAACAAGTCTGAATTATAATTCCTCACATAGGTGATAAAATAAATAAAAACAACGTTATCAGATTTGACATAATTTAATAAAAGATAAAAGTATCATTTAGCATAGTTTTCCATGACCAGATTATCTTCAAAGTGATAATAAAACTTAAAATCTCAAAAACATGCACGTACAGCCAAACTCACACTACAGTTAAACTTTCCTTATTTTTTAGTGTCAAATTAAGAAAACTATTTGATTAATTGGTGTTTCTAATGAATTATCATTTTGTTTTTATTGCCTATAATTAAGAGTTTTAACCAATCATTAATGTACATGTATGTACAGTCTGGAAAAATTATAAATAATAATATTGTTATATATGGCGAGAAATCGTTATTTTAAATCCACATCAGTCATTTCAAACGATAATAACTTCATTGCGGTTTTGAAATAATAAGAAGCAACAATATTGATGTCTTGCTGTTGTAAAGGTGCTCTAACACCATATAATAGCGATTACCAGTTGCGTCGTGAATAATAAAAGTGGTCATGAGTTCCGAACGCAACTGACACCTCAATTATATGAGTTGAGTTCGCAATTTATGACCTCTATTCTTATTCGTAACCATACGCAAGTTGTAGTCACTATGGTGTGAGAGCAACTCAATGTAGTAAGGAAATATACATCATATCAAAATAGGGTTGCGGAAATTCAGTATAAACCCACATCAGTCATTTCAAACGATAATGACATCATTATGGATTTGACAATTAATGGAAGCACCATATATCGATATGCATAGAGACCAGCTAGTCATCAGCTCACCGACGTGTTTCAAGCGAGAAATTCATTCTGGTGGTTCTGATTTGCATGATATCACAGATGGCATTTAAAGAGACAGATGCGACATTTCTGAGGTTGATTTGGACCTTAAATATATGTAAATAGTTTTCAGAACACCTAAAACTGTAAAACCATCGCATAAGTCCTTCAACTAGACCTCAAACAAGAAATTTACCTATTTATTCATTTCGTTCACCCGAAATTAGACGAATTGGGACAGAATGATTGAGCCTACTGTAAACACATAACAAGTCTATTTCATTGTAGATTCGTTAAAATTACGTTTTAACTTAGATAATTATGGATACACATGGATTTGAAGGCTCAAATTTGGACGGTAAGCTGTGAACATTATTATAAGATTAGCGGAAAAAAATTACTTTTCTCAGACCAAGGTATGATTTACTTCCGGTAATGCCACATCTGTCCCTTTAAACGTTATAAAAAGATTTATCCGGATAATTTCTCTTTTGCCATTTTACTTTGAAGTTTGATCCAGCATTACAAGAATATATACAGATTTTGCAGCACTTAAGTCGTTCTTTGCTTACAGTCGTCCATTTATGTATAAGATATCGTCTCCATCTTTTAATTTTACTGCAAGATTATAGACTTCATAGACAATACTTTGGACGACATTCTACGATTAATGACATAAATGCACAATAAAAACACAATAAAAAAATATACACAATATGTGTAAACAAATCAAATCACCGAAGTAAAAGACTGAAGACTGAAATAACCTACCCCAGATCGACGCTGAATTTCAATTGACATAAACTAGAATTAAAGGTCTTAAACGATTGAAAAGAAAATAATCACAGAACAATATTAGCCTCTCTTCTTAGTTTCTCGATATCGTCTCTCGTAGTCCTGTAGAGCCTTTGATTTCTGGCCCCCAGCAGACATAGGTGGACAATAGGAGCCAAACAATTTATCAAAATGATTAAAAAATGGCTGGTAGTTGGTCAGTGGTTTTTGATGGTGCATGTCATGCTTTGGTGATCCTCCATAAAAACCATAAGGTATCCAATTGTACAAGAGGATGGGAAAATCAAAACCTATATGGCCCTCTACGCTAATTGATATACTAACAATCATATAACTCCAAGTCGTCAAACAGTGACAATTAAAGAACCAGGTGTTGGTAGTAGTTAGTAAACCTACGGTTACCAGTTCCCATGGATGTAGATACTGGGTTGTCCAGACAAACGGAGAACTGTATCGGTGGTGGACGCCATGGATGTGTCGGTAAAGAAACCGTATTTTATGATGGGTATAATGCCAAACATAATATTGAAAATCAAATACTAAAAGACAGGCTATCTGTTGCCATATAAAATCAAACAGTGCTGGTGCTGTGTCTGGAAGCGGTGTTGGTGGGGTCCAGATCCATTGTGCTACTGCAGTTGGCATGATAAACAATAAATGATTCCAAAACGTGAGACTTAAAGTATCCCATAGGAGCGGCGGTGCAACATCTTTATCCGGTTGAATTTTATACTTCTTGTACCAGTTCATATTCTTACAATATATATCCACAAACGTAAACGGAATGCATAGAAGAAAGTAGTATCCAACGGATAGAAAGACGGGGAAAAGCGGAGATCGCACATAATCTTCATAGCCTTTTCTTAAATCCCAAACTGGTTGTAGTATAAACCTGGTTTCTTCCACAGATCGCAACATTGTTTCATTCTCCATGTCGTCTGCTTCAGACTAGCACGCGCAGTAAAATATGGCGCCCGGATACTACTTTTGACAATTGGCACCAAGAAACATTTAAAGTGGGATGAATATTATGTAAATTTGCACAAACTATTCATCTATCAAAACCCAGTTTAAATCTGCTTTATGTTCTCACTCTTAGTAGGCCACAATATCCAAGTTATTCTTTCGCATTGTTGCTTGATATCCAATTGAAATACTCTTTTTTGTTCAGGTTAAAAGACTGGATAATGTAGAAACAGAATGACGTCAATCAGTAGACTAGAACAATAGGGTCCACGCTAGTATATCGATCGTGTAGTTTTCCTCAATATAGTGTATCAAGTGAAAATCACCAAAAGTTTAATAGAAAATGATAATGGTTTTATTTGCATCGTCAGTTCATGATACATCAGCAGTCAAAAATCGAAAACGGAACGCTTATTCCACAGTTCTCCCTTTTCATATCGTTGTCCGCCTTTACAGAACAGGATTTCTTTTTTCATTTTATTTCATAATAGATGTCAGAGTTCAATTTTAGCGATATCGTATCGCAATTTGCATTCTGCTATTTGAATGGTCAAAATTCCAATTAATCACGATCTGCGAATCAATCAATATTTTTCATGACAATATTTGTTAAATCTAGAAATATTAAGCAACGCTCGTTGGTCGCTAGTATAAAATCTTGTAGAACAACTATGGACCGTAGGCCTATTGTGAGAAATAGCTGGATCCTTTGTATTTATCATGTTATTTTAGACGTCCAACAGGAAACATTTTAAATTGCGAATTAATTTCTTAATTTGAATAGTTACGTTTCCTATACGTTTATTTCAAGGGAATTATTTCTCTCAAATTAAATTTGACCATCGAGGCTACATTAGAAAATTTTTTATCTTCCAATTTTAGTCGTATGGTTTAGACATTGGGAAGTCGTGTTAATATGTGAAAAATGAACCACAATAAGTCTTCGAAGTACTGTAATTCGAAGCATTGCACGGAGGTACCATGTGTACCTCTCAATGTTAAGATAATTCCCACTAAGGATACCTTCTCTCTCTCTCTCTGGCTAAGCTTCTTCCTCATACCTACATCACTCTCTTCTTCTACTGCTTTCTCTATCTCCAACTCTTCACTAGTCTATCTAACCTCGTGTATATTCTCTTCTCCAATTTCTCACCCAAACCCTGGCTCTCTCATTTAAACTGTTCTCACACACGCTCTCTTCTTCCTCGCCTTGTTTCTTTCTCCAATACCTCTATACTTTCCTGTTCTTTTTCCCATCTCTCTACTTGCTTAATGTTTTCTCTTTACTGTCTCTTCTTTCCCTATATATTCTCCCTGTCTCTTCTTCCTTTCGTTTTACCACCACCCCCTTTCTCTACTGTCTTTATCCCTCTCTGTAATTTACACTACCCTGCTTCTTGTTACTTTCCTTATTTCTTGCTCATTACTAAATCATGTTATCATGTTCTTCGTTCCCACTCTCTCTACTTTCTATTTTCACTGTCTCTAGATATTGTTCTTCTACATTCCTTACTTTCTAATTCAGGGTTTAATTTGAGAAATTATAATATAATATTTCTATGATCAGACAAAAATAAAATCACGAATTAGCTCATACCTTATTTTCATATTTTAAATGCCACCATTTGAAAAGTTCAATATATTTTTGTAGCCTGAAGTTAAATATTACTTCTAGTTCTGGTACATTAATTACATGATGTCCTCAAGGACACTAGGCGCTATGCCAAATCATACGGTCAATGGACACTCTTGTTGAGACTTTAACCCTTACTATCTGGTATCTCTACTATCATTCCGGTCCAGTCTAGTCAACTAGTTAATCATTCATTGATATATATTTATTATTGTGGTCTCATTATAGGTCCTATGTTTCTTTACAAAGTACATTTTTAGATAAAATATTTAAAATATTACGTGACTGGTAGCTCTTAATCTTTCACAGGTTCAATTCAGAACAACTCAACGACATGCGGTTTCACAACGAGGGAAATTTAGATGGGACAGTAATATTATCGGTCATTGGCATGATCAATCTGAAGACAATAACTGGAACATTTCGAATAGCTACTCTGAATTCATATGAAATGCTAATCGTAACTTTCACTGGAGTAGCCAAAACTGAAATTTGGTGTGATACATTGACGAAACTTTTGATATCGGATCTTAAAACAAGATTCAAGAGGAATCTAGTCAGATCATGGATTGCATGTGTAGTAGCCTTCATAAGATAGACAACACGTTTGATAATCAGATCTATTGATGCATGGAGTCATTTTATTGTAATGTTCCTTCGTAGTCACAATCGTTTACTGACCCAAAGGATCTAGCAGCTAGTTTTCCAATAAAACACTTTTTACTCCTTATCTGTGACAGGAACAACCGAAAAGTAAAGTGTCACAGTACAGTAGTAGACCGGGTCCTAAGCCGTAAACAGTGATTAGCTGATACAATCGCCACAGATGCGTGTAGGATATTTTATCATTAAATTCTTAACGACTTCTCAAATATAACCCCCTGTATGTTGTATTCCTCTAAACCTCAAGTTGAGAAACGGGGATTTTATTCATACTTGGGAATTAAAGACATGTCAATCCATATTATTATATCATTTGGTATCAATTTTATTTACATAGCACTGAGAAAATTCCATTGAAATTGTGATACACATAAAAGAATGGGAGATCTTAAATTAGAACACAAACAACTACAAATAGTGAAAATACAAAAGATTCTAATGAAAATAAGTCTTACAATACAATTAACGGAATAAAAGTGATATTATGATTGAAAAATAAAAAGTGTCACGACAGTTATTGAACACAGAAGATCATCAATTAACTGTTATTAAGGGACCATACAAGATGGTTACTCCATTTTTTTGGGGTCTTAACCTAAGACTTAGCAGCTCAAATAACTAGTTCTAAATCAGATTATGTGAATGTAGATAGTAACTCATATATACAATACAGAAAGAGCACCAACGGCATAAATACTAATATATTTGAGCAAAATAAAGCAGTCTGTTACAAATACAGTTATTTTATCACTTGATTGAGCAGTATGTGACATGCTGACGACATGCTGACGTTTGCTTTTTTGAAAGCATTGAAAATATAAGCTCTGGTTTTATTTTAAGGGTGATTTAAAAGTGATTTATCAACATTTGATAACATTACCCAAAAAGGTCAAAAAAGTCGCATGCTAGTGTGAAAAATCTTTAGTTTAGTGTAATTTTTCTGCAAAAAGGTCAACCATTAAAATTTAGCAAGTTTCAGATAACTGTTTGATGATTAATTTATTTAAAATGAATATTGCACTTTAATATGGTGATGTTTGAAGATGATGTAAATTAATTAGAATCACCTTATTTAAAATAAAATAATACTATTATCAACTGATAAAAACAACTATTGTGTAACATTTTTGCAAAGATTCAGTACTGTTTTATATTGAAACAATTTGTAGCGATTTGAAATTTAAGTGATTCTCTACTTCATAGTGGTTTTGGCACCATTTTGGCATACCAAACAGATATTTGAATATGATTTTATATGATTGGATGAAAATGTCTGGAAAATAGAGTTCAATTTCAGCTATCTGTTCCACACATCTTATAGAAAGCTGACAATATAGGCGAAATCCCAGTAATTCATGAAATAAGGGGTGGAATTAGTGACAAAGATTTCCCACTGTTAGTAACATTCTCTTGTGTATTTTTAATCAATTGAAATAGTGAGTGAGACTATAAACACATTTTCTAAAACACTAATGAAATACAATTAGTAGATTACTGCAGTGAGATTGTTAAAAACTTACTGGATATTTAGACCAATATAAAATAAAGAGTTATTATTATTATTTCCACTTATACCTTTTCTTCAAGTCAACACAACCCACATGTAAGATTTTCATTTTAAAAAGTACTACGAGCAGCAGAAAGAAGCATTGTTTGTTGTTAAATTTAAAGATTAAAGCCAATTAAACACTTACTCTGAGGTTAAAGGTAAGGTCTCCCTGAGATCAAAAAAACTTAATTTTAGCTTAAACGTCAGAAAATAAAATCATTCTCTACAGCCACCCAATATAAATACATAAATAGAATAATATTGAAAATAATCTTGTAATATAGTTAAAATCAAAACACACATCATCAAATACAATAACTCATAATTCATTATCACAGATTCTATGGTATTCTATTAAAAACTATTGGGAAATACTTACTATATATCCTTAAAACATGCTACTTATTTTACCAAATTCCCATAAATGGAGGTTTTCTTAAAAAAATTATGTGTATCAGGGACACTGATAGCATCAATTTGCACCATTCCAATATTTCGATCTTTTCAAGAGAATCTATTTCTTCATCTGTCTGGAATGAATTTGTGTTAAAACCATCATCTCACACTTATTTTAGAGAATCTATTTCTTCATCTGTCTGGATTGAATTTGTGTTAAAACCATCATCTCACACTTATTTTAGAGAATCTATTTCTTCATCTGTCTGGATTGAATTTGTGTTAAAACCATCATCTCACACTTGTTTTAGAGAATCTATTTCTTCATCTGTCTGGATTTCATCTTTCAACTAATTTTAAACACTTGTGATTGTGTTAAAACCATTATCTCCAACATTTTTGGATAATTCCTTTGTATTTGTTGATTGAATTCTAGCCATCTTGCACCTATTTTAGCACCTCTATTCTTCACATGTCCTGACTGAATTGATGTTACTCGTAAAAATCATTATCTTCAACAAATTACAAAAAATAAATTTTGTCAAACTTGTATTCCATCAAACAGCTTGATTGCATTTGTATCAAAATCCCATTAACGTTTACTGATTCAAAATACTTTCTATTGCAACCATTATACATAAGTTTACTCCTTTAAAAACTTTCCATTCAAAACCATTATCATAAGTTTAAAATCAGTCTCAAACACTTTCATCTTTATCTGATATGTGAGAGAGAGGTAAGAGTTTTTCAGCACTACTTCTAGAACTACTAGATCTATCAGTACTACTATAACCACTAGATTTATTTTCAGGTATATTTATATCAGACTTAGATCTCAGTCGAGGATTGGGTTTGGGTGGTTCTCTTGATGGTGATTGTGAAGATGCTAAAATATGAGTTGTTTCAACAGAGCCATGTTTACCAGCTCTATATACTACTTCAGTATCTGATGTCACACCAGTTTTCCATTTAGAATTATTAATACGATTAACTTGGTCTGCTTTTATCCTGAATTATAAATAAAAGACAGTGATAGACCATAAAATTTGGAATTTTGAAATGTTTTAAACCAGTTCATGATCCAAGTCCCATCCTAACTTATGGCAATGCAAAAAATGATTTTTCAGATAGAGAAATCAGGTAAGTATTTTCCTTCAAAAAGCAACTTTAAATATTAGTATTAGATTTTTATTCAGTGTCCTTTATCACCATCTGAAGTAGGCATTGAAACTCCATAAATTTTGTATGAAAAAAAACAAAAAACTGTTAACTTTTTTTTAAAGTCGTACATTAATTTCAAATTCATGATGCATAACACGTTCTATTTGAAATCATACTGAAAATACAGAGTGTGTTCTTATATTATTCTATAATTTACTGTTAACTCAATTAAACACCTGTTACTATGCAATTTATTCAACTTGTTAATCACTGCTGTTTGGCTGTTCTAAATAACATAACTTACATAATTAAAATAGATTCTAATAATTCCATATAATTAACATATTCTTCTTTTTGAAATTCCTATAATGAGAAAATACAAGTAAAAAAAATAGTTCAGATTTAAACTCTGAGAGCTTTATTTCAATGCCTTAAGTATTTGAAAATGATAGTCAGGTCGTAAAGAAAAGGTGTTCAACAAGAGATTGTAAAAAGATTTTCTAAACTTGTTACGTCTATTGACTGATAGTGTTGATTTGTAAGATTTCATTTTTCAGTCAGACAGCTACTTGCAGTTTCAATAAAGCTAAGCGTTTCGTAACAGCTATCACAAAGTTCCTTGGAATTATTACAAGCTTTTTCGATTGTTCCGAACAAGACTCTGAAATATTATTTAAATAATCTGAATATTATTGACTAATTAAATAAACTAGAATAAATAACATTATGGTACTTACAACATGATTGTGACGAGCATGATCATAAGATTGTGAAAACTGATAAATAATAGTAGAATCATGAGAATCATTGATAGATGTTGGACATAATGAACATAAATAATGTTGCATTGTTTCATATGGATTTCTAAACTTTATAGAATCATCTTGTTTCATCAAACATTCAACTGAAAAACAAAAGTTAAAGATATGATGCTTTTCAAATGGCATAAATGGATTTTCAGGATAAAAAATACTATGAGTTCGAGCCAAAAGAAATTATTTGGACGAAATTCAGTATACACTAAGTCAATAAGCAAGTCAGAGAGTACATGCTACACTAAGTTTAACCTTCCAGATATGCGTGCTACATCAGCAGACTTTCTGATCTACACGAATAACAGTACAAACAATGTTATAACTTGTGTCGGTAACTATCTTAACCAATGCTGCAATAGCACCTCATGGAAATCCAAAGCCACCACAATTAACAGAAGTTAAAGAGACAGATGTGCAATTTTTTCTGACCAATCATACTTTAGTCTCAAAAACGAGAATATTTGCTCAGCCAATCAATAATAGAGTTAACAGCTCACAGTCAAAACTTGAGCTTTCAAATCCATGTGTGTCCAGAATTATCTGAACTTGAATGTGAAAGGATGAATAGTTTATACATTTCTAGTACTTCAAAACTAGACTCAAATCAACCCCCCAAAATGGCACACCTATCCCTTTAAAACAAAGACAAAAAATACTTACTGGCATTAGTAAAAGCATCCATTGCTTTCATTCTGTAATGATAATGATTTGGTACTGAAATATACAAATTAAAAAGTACAGTAACACTCAACCAATAATATACATATACCTGGTTTACTTTCTACGTATACTTGATATTGTGTTACCTGATATCTGTTAACTGCTTTGAGCACTATAAATTTTTTAAAATCTCATATGAAGTTAGCATAAAAAACCTATCAAGTCAATAGATTGATTATGTTTACCTATAGATGACACATCATTCATTTTTTCTGTTAATAAAACTGGTTCATATTGTATATAATTTACTCTCTCAAATCTTCTCTGTATTTCAAGTTTCATTGTCTGAAGAAAAAAACAAACAAAAGTAAGTGTGCCGAAATATCCATGACAGCTACATACATTATAGCTCTAATTCAATCTGCCAAGCCATGTGGATATGGGATAGCTCAATATACCGGTATAGCCAGTTGAATTGCAGTACCTGTGATGACACAGCTAGAGTTTTCAAGAGCTGTACCTGTTTTAACTTTTTACTAATATCTATTAGACATATTAATGATGGTGAATGAAATCTTATTTATATAAAAAAAATTAAACTTGATATTAAGCCACCAACCTTTGGTAAATCATATCCAACAAAAATGTGAGGTCTCCTTGCTGACCTATAACTAAATCTTGCTATTTGTCTTTTAGCCAAGAGAAACAGTAGAAAGAACAACTGAAATAATGAAATCATTTCAGACTGAATCAACATCTCAAAAACTAGTGAAATCCTGAATCATTCAGGATGGAAGAGAATAACAAAGGCTTAAATTTTGTTTTCTGCTGACACACAAGTATAGTTCAAGGGGGGTAATGTTATGAAATCACCAAATCAACTTAGGACGCAAAAAAGGTTGGCCTCCCACAACAAAATGACACTGAGTTTACTACCATATAATAATGATCAGGAAACAGTATTCTGGAATATTACCCTCAAAAGAAATGAATATTTATGTTAAAAATTTAAAACCCAATGAATATAGAGTAACATTTACGACCATGAATCTTCAAGAAAAATGTACAAAAGATTATCCAAATTATAAATTTTAAGTACTGTATCTTGTTCTAGGCATTATTACAGTAAAATGATAAATTCTTCTTACCAAAGTTCCTGATGCTATAAAGAGAACAACACTAACAAGAGACAACTCAGCCATTTTCGGTATTCAACATGTCAATGATATTGGATGGAACATAACAGTACATTCTCAAAATCTTCTGTAAATAATGCAAAATATTATCAATTAGCAATTATCAAAGAGCTATTGATGTAAAATTTAACAGAAAGAACCTAATATTTGTCCAAAATATTCACTGCAAATTGCAGACAATTCTAACATTTCCATCTAAAATTGATTTTAAGGATTTCAGCTTATGGTATGGGATTTATTCCCGACCATGGCAAATTGGCAGGGGGACTCAACTCTTTTGTTTAGTCATACTTGATTAAACATTCATTCACAAGTAATTTTGATCCATTGGCTAATTTTTTGAAGCAGTGTAATGGCTACAGAATCAAATTGTTTTCATTCATGCTCTGAAAACTATCACAGTTGTATTATGGTGTTTGCTCAAGATCTGAAAATTTGACAGAAAATAATAAACTTTGGTTTGTTACTGTTAGCCTACATGTATGTATGTCATGTAGGACATTCAAAATACTCTGGCAAGGATTGTGTGTAAATGCCCCAGAGTCTCGCAAAAATTAAAAAAAACAAAATATTACAGTGCCACAAAATGTTGTTCAAAAAAGGTGCCAATATCGACAACAGAGTCAATATTTGAACGCAATAGGCGCTATCGACAACTTTTCCTGAATAATGATTTAACTCGTCCCCATTTTTCGAATACAAGAAAGTTGAAAATCTACCATTACCTTTAAAACGTCAGAATGAAATTATATTTTCATCTCCCAAAAGAAATTGTCTATCGTGGGCGCGTCCATCTTGGATACCGTACATTTAGTGGATTTCTACCGGGGAAACAACAAAACGAAATCTTGAATCTGAGTTACTTCCCCTTCATAAGTTTTGTATTGGCAGAGGTTTATATTTAGATAGTCTCAGGTTTACGGTCAATATTTCATTGACGGCATTAGAAATATATTTATCAGCCTTATGTCAGTTCGTCCAAACCTGAAACTGCGGTCTTATAGGAATGTCTGTGATACTTGATCAAAAAACAGGATTTTAGATATAAGCTTATATATCAGCTCCTTTCATAACTTTTCAAATGTCCCTTTTTTATCAAACTATATATACCATTAATGGGGAGGAGAGAGGATAGATTCAATAAAATAAATCGAAAAATAGAAATATGCAAGGTGGATTCCAATTACTTAAGATTTTATCAAGGGCTCCGTTTTAAAGGGTGAAATTAAACTTCACATTTCAACATGAAATATCAACCTGATTGGAAATGTTCATGGACACTTGCTTAAGTGCATTCAATTTGTACTGGCGATAAAAAGCAGAAGGATCCTCAGAAAGTAAAACTGCACTTCAATCATTTTCTTTAAAAAATTACGGCCAATAGGCTGGCAGATAGGTTGGCAAAAGGGAAACCGTTAAAATGACGGATATCTATAAATTTACAGGTCACATTCTTTTGCTGTAACTGGCAAGTATGACAATATATATTCGCATCGGCCTGTACCCTTATGAAGAAAATCAAACATGATATCAGGGCCATACATACAGCAGAAAAACTGTATAGGCTACCAATCACAGTTGTATCGTTCGTAATCAAGCATATTGTTCATGATTTGTATTTCACAGTTTTAAGAAACTGCTCTAAAATATTTATATTAAACAGTAAATATTATGCAATCCAATAATCGTGAGGAAACCTTCTTTATTTTATCTGATCGTCGTGATTAATTAAATTAGTTTGATAACGTGGATCTATATTACACGAATTAGGCCTATTATAGACATATTTAACCACAGCAAAGTGCATGTGTTCTAAATCTAAAATTCAAAGGTAGGTCTACCATCTTGACAGAGGTTCACGATTCTATCTTATTTGAAAAGATTATGAAAGTCAATCCAATCTTAGTATACTTACTCGTATCATTGTAAGGATTTTCGTAAGCAGCAATAGTTCTTGTTCCTTTGTCATGATAATTAATAAACCCCAATATCTTTGTTATATTAGCGAAGATGTTCCTCATTATTCATATAAAAACGGCAGCAATTATTGTTTACTGATAATATTATACCTTATTTACATTTGGACTTATTTCCTTTACTGCAGAGGCACCAACCATCTTTTTGCTAGCAAGTTGTTAACCAATTCCCCTGATGGTATTGACCAAAGAGATCGTCTTGAGAATATCAATAGATTTTATTTCCAATTCGCCAAAACCAACCATTCAAATTCAGGTTGTCCAAGCATAGTATATAGCATATTAATCTGTGATCATTTTCTTCCACCATTATTGGGTCAATCTGCACAGATTCAAAGACAGCATGCTCTCGCGGACTTCAGAAAACACAAAAGCAGTTGAAACTTTGAAACTATTGACGAGAACTTTCTCTTTTGCTAACACTCTTGGTGGTGATGACACTTATCGAGATGATGTCACTAAAGGAGAGAGTTGGATTTTAAGTATTGTTCAGTATTGTTTAAAGTGAAGCATTGGACAATCTTTATTACGACAGATAAGGTCACGATAAAGAATGCTGAAGAGAGAGGCTGAAGTTCTGCCTAAATGACAATTATTCGAGTTTATTATCGAATATCTGGGAGTCATACTAGTCATAGTATGCACATTTCGTATTATGTAAAACGTATTATCACTCAATGATTGGATTCATTGTACCTTAAAGGAACAGATTTACTAGAAATGTGCGAAAATCGCATAATTCCTTTCAAAATTCTTTAGGAATTTTACTCACTATTTCTTAATACATGTACCGGTATGTCTTTTTTATATATATCGCAGAGTATCTTAAATTGATGAGTCGTCATTTTAACATTCAAACACTGAATTGGCTTAGCTAAGAAAAATTTCCGTTTCAAAGACTAAAGTATGATTGGTCAAAAAAATGGCCCACCAGTCCCTTAAAAACACAGAATTAGGCACATTAACACTATATATTGAATATATTGTAACTGTAGATGGGTGTGGCATAATTTACATAACTCAGTTTTCCCGAAGTTTTTTCATGAATTGTGACATGTTACATAGGAGATTGAATGAATGCCAGTTTAATGTTTGTTGTTCAAAATAAGCTGAATTGTTTGGATTATTAAGATTTATCTCCCATAAAGTTTAGAACGACCTATTTATATTATATTATAAAATATAATTGTTGCTATTGTCTTTTATTTATCTATATATATATGTATATATATATATAGATATACCTTCTCGTATTATACTTCCCGATGTCGACAATGTAGATTGTTGAAACGTTGTGTACAAGAAAAATATAGGAGAAGTATACCCTAAAATAGTGTTATATATAAATATACCAAAGATATAATTGTCGGGGATTGTCAACTTTATATTTATTTAAATTTGAAAGAAAAACAAAATTTTTTTTTTGTGGTCAGACATTTCTTTATTGTTATATCTTAATTATGTCTCAGGTCACATATTGGTTGGTTCTCGAAAATAGAAATATTTTGTTCTATTGAAGTTACAGGTAGGCCCTATACAAAAACATGTAACATCTGTTACCGAATAATACTCCTTTGTGATCGAATTTCGTTTGAAAGGAAAATTAGTTTATTTCAATTTAATCTAATTTAATTTCATTATAGAAATGAAGTTACTGAGTTCAAAATGAATAAATTATTTTTGTTTTTCTTCGAACAGTAATAAAAATATATTTTATGTTAGAAGTACATTGGAATACTAACATCTAAACCAAATGCATGCGTAACATGTGTCATGCTGAACTAACATTACCCACGGGATTAGCGATAGTTGAATGTACCTTCAAAATGTTAGCTTATGCCTTGATAGTCCGAAACATCTTCTCTAGTCCAGCCTCTGATGGATATTTTGACAGATGTCAGCCTGAGTAGAGTCAGGAGTTTTTTTCTAATATTGTTTTAAATTACCTTTATGATGACTGTAAATTAGTGTTGGGCATTGTCGTAACTTTCGTTTTGTTACTATCAGACTCTGTGACTTTTGAACTTTTGGCTGCGTACGCATTTATAAATGACCGATCCTAGACTTTAATGGAACCGTAGATTTGACATAAATGGTGTAGGGAGAAAATGATGGTATGACTGAACTTCAAAAATATTCATCTTTCCAAATATGTAAGGTTTTCAGATCCGAGATATCTAAAAAAGTGCAAAAAGTCCCGGTAAGATATGGAATGTTCCTATTTAACAGGGCATCAGCCAAAATAGCTATCAGAGGCAAGAATAGAGACAGATGTTTCGGTCTAATGACTGTAATAGCCACCTTTCTTGCACCACTAACGTACAAACTAAACAAATCGCTGATACAAGAAAGGTGACCATTGCAATCATCTGTGGCATTCTCCTTTGTCCATTTCTGGTAATATCAATGGATAAGTTCACAAGATGTTTTGGTACAATTATAACACTTCAGCTCTTATATCTATCATTTATTTAATGAGTGTTCTTGTTAGTGGCAAGTTTGTTACAATCAGATTGAGATATCCTTCTTTGGCTTAGAATTTTTCAGCCGAACAGCGTATTGGAAGTAGAAACGATACATTAGAAAATATCCCTTGATGGAAATAAAATGACATTTACGGATTATGGCGCAGAGAAAATCATTTCAGTTAACAATCATAAGACTACAATACAATATTGTTATACCAACCTGACAATAGACAAATAGCTGGTCGAATGTATTGCTTAAAGTCAAACTGAATTGATTGTATTCAAATATAAGTCAGTTTATTGAACTGACAACAGGTTGGATCGTCGGCTTCTACCCCGCGTCATTGCACTGAGGTTTAACAATATTTAATTCAAAAATATATTCAAATAAACATTCTGAAAGGGATTGAAGAACAGGTTTCGCTTCTTTTACCCCTCTCCAACAATTATGTATAAATATATGAAAAGTGGGAAACACATGCCTAATATTTGAATTATATGGAAAATAAATAAAAAGTTTCAAGAGAAAAACAAAATTTTGTAGTATTTTTTCAACATCATTTGGAAAAAGTAAAAAGAGTAAGAAGTGTATGGAACATTTCAGTAGAGATATAAGGACATCTAGTGCCAAGTAATAAAACCTAAGTTTTTATATATGCTGGTGGCAAAAGATAAATGATCTGTTCTGTACATCTACATAATACTATAAATCAAAAAATATTCAGAATCTTCAAATTGATGACCGCAATTACAGGCAGTCTTATCTGGGATCTCCCACGTGTATACGCCTGAACATGTTGGAAGCATTTTTATCCGTTGGAAATGATTGTTGTTCTTCATGACTCCAGCCTTCCGGGCTTTCTCATTATTTCTGTATTCATTGTAATAAACTTTCTCGTAAATCTAAAATATGACCAGAAGAAGAACGATTAGGTCATGATTATGTTAATGAGAACACCTTATAATCTTTAATTGTTGAATGATAAAATCATATGAAATCTAAATGATCTTAAATATCAACGGTTCTATATTCGAATAGAAATGTAACGTTTTGATTGAAGTTGGAAAAAATTTTTCTTCACGTTATAAAACTTTAAAATTAGAAGGAATAAGAAACAAATACATTTCAAGCTTAATGAAATATATTATATATACGTATTTTTCGCCCTTCCGGATTTTTTAATTTTCATAAACAAGTGTTTAATATAAACATTTCTAGACAATAATCCATTAATCCAATACGGAGACCTTTGTGCTGAGACAAAAATGATTCAACGTAAAAGCAGCCATTTGGAAGTAGTTCAGACTCTTGCATTATTAATCTTATATATCATTCGAGATTATTTATTATTATTTATATATTGGGAGTAATATCGAAAAAAGGGAAAATGAAATGTAAATACATTTTTAGTAGCATGCCAGGCAAGAAAATATTTGCCCACTCATAAAAGCTTTGTTTTTGATTAAGAATGTTTTGACAGAATGGTGAATGGGGAAAGTTTTACACTACAAACTTTTTTGGTTTGTAATAGAGCTCTTCATTAAATGATAACAAATAACAATTTCACTTAGTTCAATTAATATCAATCAAGAATTGCCCCTTCTAGAGTGTTTACGAGCATGTATGGACGGACGAGTGGACGGACATGGGTTACGTCAATATACGATCCACATTTCACGTGGCCGTATAAAAGATACTCAAAAATTTGAAGGATAACGCCCTTAACCATTCATAATCATTATAGTACTGCAATAAAATATAATCAGTCATTCGTGACCGGACTATATATCTCTCTTTAAATAGGTCTCTGACGCGATTACATCTTTCTTTTTAATTGATTTTTTTTTAATTCTTCGCCTAAACGTACAATCTACAGTCTTTTATATCAAGTAATATTACACTTAAAGGTGTCCAGATATAAATTTGAGAAATATTTGAAGTTATTTACACAGAAACGAAAGTATTATATATTGTATATGATATATTTATTTGCAGTGTTGTTAACTCGTATCTCGACTTCCATTATATATATACTAATATTGATTTTTAGAATTCAACTGTACGTCGAGTTGTTTTGAAGCTCGGCCTATGAAATAGTATGTGAATCAGAGAAACCTATAGGTAAGCTGTGTTAGTTTCAGACTGAGACAGTTTGTGTTGACTTCAATAACATACAGTGTTCTAGACCAGTGATCTCACTGTGTCTTTCACGTGTACTCCGTAAAGAAGTTATTGTCGTTTTATTAACACGATTTATCATTTACAGGTAAATATGAATTACATATTATGCTATAAAAGTTATTTCTTTACCATTTTAAAATTCAAATTGCATATACTGAAATTCATAGAGAATGCTTTTATGCACGAGGTATTTTTCTTAAAAAGTTTCTCTAGTGTTTGTATTAATTTTCTGGAATGTGAATGTACATTGTAATTATATTTGTAATCTTTGATTTAGACTTTACTTCTTCTAAGAATACCTTGACTTCAACAAGGAAAATTTCCATTTCATAATAGATTTTGTTAAAATCATTGAAAGTGGATTAAGTTGTTAAAAGCTTAGTCTTAATATAGAAACAGATTATTCCTTAGAACAATTTCTACAACTTCGGGGTGAAAAAAAGACAATATTAACCACGTGGAATCTACAGATCGCCTGCAGGTCTTCACCGATACAATAAGAATCTTACCAGGAGAAATGGAAAGGTTGAAAAGTATCATGTCTGGAATACCATTGCCTTATATTTTCTCTTAATAGTTGTAGATTCACCGACGACAGTTGAAAAGCTGAAGAGATGAAAGTTTTAAGAAATGCCATTAGTGGAAAACCTTAAAGTTTGTCTACAGTAAATTGGTTTTATTAAGTCAGAGAATGTTATAATATTCCACAAAAGAGACGTGATACCTCGGGATAAACGTGACAATATAATTTTACTTGAAAGGAACATCTCTATAAAACTGACATAAATTTCATTCAATTGGAAATACTATTTTCTCATTGAAGTGTAAATTTAGGTTAACTCTAAGGCTGGGTTCTATAATAAAAAAAAATGACATATATTTTGAGGTTAAAGCTGTAAATCAAGTTAAAGTAGTCAAGTGGAAAAACATAACTTCGAATATTATAATATTTGCGTGTGGGTTTTTTTTCTCTTATACCAATGTGAATTTTCTACCAGTAAAATGACTGTTTTCTTATACTAAAGGAACTAAATGAAGTCCGCACTGTTATTATTGAAAATAATCTTTGTTCTTTTAATAATTTCTGACTATGGAAGTGCGTTGTACACAAATTGTGGTGGGCTACTGGAAGCGGAGAAGGGGAACATTCAGACTCCCAATTTTCCATCCCCTTTTCCAACACCCATCAATTGCGCCTGGGTGATACATAACCCACATCCGGAGAAGAAGATTATTTTATACTTCACACAATATTTTCTCAAAAATTCATTCCACCTCTCAGAATATGATGAATATATCAGTGAGCATGATAATAAAGGAATAAAATATCTTGGAGAAATGAATTACATCAACCAGTTTTCATCAATGGCTGCCTACAAGCCGTATCTAGTGATACGTTTTAAAGTACGTGATATGGGAAATATGCATTTAAGAGTTGAGGAATTTTTAAAAGATGTATACGGATTTAATATCACATATGAAGTAGTGAATAAGGAACAAAATATAAAAGAGGCCTGTTCAGCTCATAATTGCTCATTCCTTGGACATTGTGTAGCTAATTCCATCTTTTCTGATTATAAATGCCAATGTTTTCCGACATTCTTTGGGGATTACTGTCAGTATGGACCATTCTGTGATCCAAGTAATGGAAAGAATATGTGTCAAAATGATGGACAATGCAGGTAAGTTTATTCTAATCATCTAAACTATTATTGAAGTCCTATAATGTGTGTATTCGCTTGCTCGGGCCTGCCCTATATATTTCTATTCTTACATTGTTTGGTTACTAAGAGAAAAAATCTTCAACGAAAGTCGTAACAAAAGGCCCTGCATCAGTGAACACTATCGTCTGTTTTTCGGCACATATTAATTAAATTCCTGTAAACCAAACAGCATGTCTGATGTAGGTAGCAAGGTGTGTGCCAACATTTGAACACAATTCATTGCTAACATAGTTTCATCAAAACCGTCAAATATTTTAGCTATAATATATTCTTTCATCAAAAGAAAGGTAATTGTCTGACAGCTAGTTATGATGGCTTTTGATTAATGTAATAATTCTCGTGTGATTGTAAGCATAATTACTTGCCACAAGGTTGGATGCAATAGCATCAAATAGATCAAATCAGCACTGTAATATTACATTGTATGTCAGCTACGTTACACTCTGTCATTGTTATATAGCACCAAACAGATCATATCAGCACTGTAATATTACATTGTATGTCAGCTACGTTACACTCTGTCATTGTTATATAGCACCAAACAGATCAAATCAGCACTGTAATATTACATTGTATGTCAGCTACGTTACACTCTGTCATTGTTACATAGCACCAAACAGATCATCATTGTTATATTATAGCACCAAACAGATCATATCAGCACTGTAATATTACATTGTATGTCAGCTACGTTACACTCTGTCATTGTTATATTATAGCACCAAACAGATCATATCAGCAGTGTAATATTACATTGTATGTCAGCTACGTTACACTCTGTCATTGTTATATTATAGCACCAAACAGATCATATCAGCAGTGTAATATTACATTGTATGTCAGCTACGTTACACTCTGTCATTGTTATATTATAGCACCAAACAGATCATATCAGCAGTGTAATATTACATTGTATGTCAGCTACGTTACACTCTGTCATTGTTATATTATAGCACCAAACAGATCATATCAGCAGTGTAATATTACATTGTATGTCAGCTACGTTACACTCTGTCATTGTTTATTATAGCACCAAACAGATCATATCAGCAGTGTAATATTACATTGTATGTCAGCTACGTTACACTTTGTCATTGTTATATAGCACCAAATAGATCAAATCAGCACTGTAATATTACATTGTATGTCAGCTACGTTACACTCTGTCATTGTTATATTATAGCACCAAACAGATCATATCAGCAGTGTAATATTACATTGTATGTCAGCTACGTTACACTCTGTCATTGTTATATAGCATCAAACAGATCATATCAGCAGTGTAATATTACATTGTATGTCAGCTACGTTACACTCTGTCATTGTTATATAGCATCAGAGACATAAGTTATAAATCAGCTTTGTATGTCAGGTAAGATACACCCCATCCATATTAAATTGCATTAGACAGATATGTTACAAATCAGCATTGCAATATTGCATTGTATAGTCAGCTGCATTACACTCTATCACTGTAATATAGCATCAGAGAGATATGTTACAAATCAGCATTGCAATATTGAATTGTATAGTCAGCTGCATTACACTCTATCATTGTAATATAGCATCAGAGAGATAGGTTACAAATCAGCATTGCAATATTGAATTGTATAGTCAGCTGCATTACACTCTATCACTGTAATATAGCATCAGAGAGATATGTTACAAATCAGCATTGCAATATTGCATTGTATAGTCAGCTGCATTACACTCTATCATTGTAATATTGCATCAGAGAGATAGGTTACAAATCAGCATTGTAATATAGCATTGTATGTCAGCTAAGATACATCCCATCATTATTAATTAGCATTACATAGATAGGTTACATATCAGGATTGTAATATAGCATTGTATGCTAGCTAAGCTACACTCCATTATTATTAAAGAGCATTAGATAGATAGGTTACATATCAGGATTGTAATATAGCATTGTATGTGGGCTAAGATACACTCCATCATTATTTAATAGTATTAGATAGATAGGTGACATATCAGAACTGTAATATAGCATTGTATGACAGCTAAGCTACACTCCATCATTATTAAATAGTATTAGATAGATAGGTTACATATCAGAATTGTAATATAGCATTGTATGCTAGCTAAGCTACACTCCATCATTATTAATTAGCTTTACATAGATAGGTTACATATCAGAATTGTAATATAGCATTGTATGACAGCTAAGCTACACTCCATCATTATTAATTAGCTTTACATAGATAGGTTACATATCAGAATTGTAATATAGCGTTGTATGCTAGCTAAGCTACACTCCATCATTATTAATTAGCATTAGATAGATGGGTAACATATCAGCATTGTAATATAGCATTGTATGCTAGCTAAGCTACACTCCATCATTATTAATTAGCTTTACATAGATAGGTTACATATCAGGATTGTAATATAGCATTGTATCCTAGCTAAGCTACACTCCATCATTATTAATTAGCTTTACATAGATAGGTTACATATCAGAATTGTAATATAGCATTGTTCGCCAGCTAAGCTACACTCCATCATTATTAAATAGTATTAGATAGATAGGTGACATATCAGAACTGTAATATAGCATTGTATGACAGCTAAGCTACACTCCATCATTATTAAATAGTATTAGATAGATAGGTGACATATCAGAACTGTAATATAGCATTGTATGACAGCTAAGCTACACTCCATCATTATTAATTAGCATTACATAGATAGGTGACATATCAGAACTGTAATATAGCATTGTATGACAGCTAAGCTACACTCCATCATTATTAATTAGCTTTACATAGATAGGTTACATATCAGGATTGTAATATAGCATTGTATGCTAGCTAAGCTACACTCCATCATTATTAATTAGCATTACATAGATAGGTTACATATCAGAACTGTAATATAGCATTGTATGCTAGCTAAGCTACACTCCATCATTATTAATTAGCATTACATAGATAGGTTACATATCAGAACTGTAATATAGCATTGTATGCCAGCTAAGCTACACGCCATCAGAGGCGCAGATCTATTGATAAACTTGGTGGGGATCAACTGCTGAAAGAAGTAGTATCTTCATTTGGAGTCCATGTTGACACAGGCGTCTGTTTTTGACCAACGATGGCTTTCCGTCCCAGTGGTTGTGGTATCAGGTGTCTAGAGGAGTAACCATACCACAACTGGCGCCACACTGCACAAAACTAAAGTTTGTTGAACGACAAAACTATGATACATAAAACCTATCGTTGAGTCAAACTTTAGCTGGTTCCACAGGTTGTGGCGTTAGCAAAACTATCATTCAGATGATGGATGGTGGATGTAGAGGTTATTGGATGTCAACATCCGACAACCTAGATTCTATCATCCAGACCTACTTCTCTGCGCACAACAGCGACGAAAGACTGAGTGTCAGTGACTATCGGGTAATTTTACATTGTTTATTGGTTCCTGTAACAGTATTTGAAGGCTGAGTTATGCAGTTTGATAATCATATTAGCCACAAAAAGTAGTGAGGACCAACCCTGTCGTGTCCTGACCACTGTAAAAGTGATGGGGATCAGTCCCTGTGTACCCACCGTGATCTGCACCCATGCACTCCATCATTGTTATACAGCATCAGATAGGTTATAAATCAGCAGTGTAATATAATATTATTATATATAGTTACACTCTATCATTGTTATATAGCTACAGACATACAAGTTGCAAATCAGCAGTGATATATATAGCATTGCATATCAGCTACCTTGCAGTCAATCTTTGTTATACATGTATAGCATCAAACAGTCAGGTTGCATACAATCATTTTAACATGAACTTAGGTCCTAACATTGACATGCAAGTAGCTTTAATATAACATCGTCATACATATAGTTTACACCGATCACTGTAATATAGCATTGTCATAAAGATACATTACGCATGCCGCGATTGACTGATTATCTTAGCTAACTATGAAATTGTTCACGTCAAATTCAATCATTTTGAAGCATCACAGGTTTGAGTTTTTAATTAGGTTATTAATAAATTATGTTCATATTAATTGCAGACCTGTATTAAATGCATTATGCACATACCCTGTGATATATAGGAAAAAATCTCCTAGTGGAAAATTCAAATAGTTCCGTATTCGATTGACCAACCATATTTGTTAACATCATAACTTGATAATACTGCAAATAAGTATTACAAATCGGCGAATACTTTGACACAACACGGGGAGACATCTACATTATGTATGAATTCATATGACTTGTGTCAAGGTTTCAAGTCCACGAGATGACAGTAATTGTGTGATAATGATAGAACATAATATTATTATATCATTATTAATTGTGATTACAGTACAATATTATGTATTGTTTCCAGTTCTTTCAAGCAGTATTCTGTCGGTACACACGCCGGTACACTGAAAGGTTTAAGTTAGGTTTCGTTAACGATTGAACTTCGTCACATTATGTGTGAAATTGAATAATTCATATGAATTTCAATTTCCTTTGTATCAATTTATTTGCATGAATTATACTTGATAGTAATCGAAGCTGTCACATTCTTCTTATTATTATACTATTTCAATTCTTGTTATTGATATAATAGTCAATTTTTGCTCCAAAAGAATTTCTGTTTTTGTTGATCACATTTACATACCATATAATATACTTATCTTTGCCAGTCTATAGTTTGACATGATGGTAGTAAGCAACCATTTATCTCAAATGTTGTAATAAGCCACAGATTTTGTGTGGTTTTATGTTCACAAAGTTCTTATACTGTGCAGATACTGGCTCAATATATCTTTCCGCATAAATGCACTGAACATTGTTCACCTTTGGTAAAATGGTATGTATGGGAACTATAAAAATCATATATCAAGAGGACACGAAAATTTGAAGAAACAATTGTTTACTTACGTACTCAAGAAAGTAGTTCTTTCTAATTCGAACCCAAGAACTGAAATATAAAATGAATGCTCAAAGCTACTAAGAATTGTGCAATTTTAATATTTTTCTGGTCAGAATGTGGTTTTCGATCGTTTTGCGACCATATAACAACTCTTTTATTTAATCAATTATATCTCCATTGATACTAAAAATATTTTACACTATATATTGTATGTAAAAAAACGAGTCGCGAGTGATACGGTATGCTTATCAAAGGAAACTTAAAAAATTTAAGTAAAACATGTCCCGAGCTATGACAATAGTTGTTTGTATGGTTGTTAATTAATGATTCACAGATGTTTCATTATCCCTTTTCGAGAGTCCACATAACTAATTATGTTGGTATATTAATTTGTGGCAAGTCTTAATTTGTAGTACAAAGAAATGGAATGCTTATGTTCTCTCCTGCTTCTTATCGCGTATTCTCTCAATACATTTTGTCTGTTTGGTACATTAGAAATTTAGACATACTCGCTCATTAGAACTGGATACAACTGTTTCGTAATGCTATCGAAAAAAGTGTTTTTTATATTCAAGTACAACGTCAATCACAACAATAACTGTAAATTTTAACAGTTTCTTAAATGTTCTTGTGCGTCATATCGACTGACTGACAGAAATTTCACTTCATGAAAATGTCTATGTCTGCGAGATATTTATGTCACGTTTTTGTATTCTAATTAATCCAAATGAAATGCGATAGTGAAACTGAACAGGTGAAACATTTAAAACTGTACTTAATATGGCTTTGAGCTATGTTACTACCTTTGACTTCATATGTTCAGATCTCAATAATATTCCCTCCATTATAAAATGCAATGGGAACAATATCTTATACCCGGTGCTCACATAATAAGTGCGTATCAGAACTAAGAAAATTATTCCGAATAGACGAAATGAAAGTTTTAGGTCTTACTTTTCACCCCCAGAATAGAGTGGTGGTGACTGGCAACACTTTGATAAATTTTACCAAGACAGCGACCAGGAAAAGCATTAGCTTTTTTTCGGATTTCGAACATTTTCAGCCGATGACATACTGGAAATTGCCTAACACTATTATTGATCAGCTTAGTTAAAATAAATCCCGTTCCTGAGACTTAAGTACGATTGGTGAATCTGTCCCTGGAATTAGTTGTATCATCAGCATGGACAAGTAAATGAAGCATGGTAACTAACAAAATATTTAGTCAAGCAGCAACTTCATTAACTTTTATTATTTCTCTTTGATATCTTGTACTTAAACTGAATGCCAAAGTGAAGATCAATTTTATAATACCGAGCGAGATCGTGCAGTTTAAAACGTAATAGCTCATTACATAGTACAGACATTATATTCATTAATGTTACCTATTATTCATTATGTATTATAGATTGGTATTGCTGCAATTTGCTGGCAGGTAGTATTGTTAG